AAAAAAACAAATAGAAAAAAGAGAGGCATTCCCAAATTCACCTTTACAGCACCTGAGTGTTTTAACAAAGATAAATCACATCAACTTAGCCACTGGGTGCCCCTCGTGATGGAAGAGGTCAGGAAAGAAATGACTCGTGTCCCAGATGGCCCAGACCTTTAGCATCTCTGTAATTTTTTTAAATGCCCGTAAAAACAAGGATTCCTGCAAGATCCAAACAGAATAACTGATCGGAAATCAGAAGCCTGAATGCCTGCTCAAGCAGAGGCTGGTTGTCGGTGGCTCTTCGAGGCAGACAGCTGGGGCTGCCCCGGGCTCTGGGCTTCACCTCCTGCCGCCTGGGGGTCCTGGGTACAGAGAAGAAGTCAAAAGTCCATTTGGCAACAGGGAGTAAATGAAAGGACTGCTCTGTTGATCTAGAAAGCAGCACCACACCCTCAAGCCCCTGGAGCTTCTGGATTGAACCTAAGGGCAGGGACTATCCCAAAGCCTGGGGCTTCGTCTGAGAGCCCCTCAACCGTCTGCCCTCCCCCCAAGGTCGGCAGTGGAAAGTGATGGCCTCTCAAGCTCCCGTTACCAAGCAGGGGCTCCAAGTCAGGTAATGTGATCCTTCCCCGGGGCCCCACCCCGTGGCTTTCTCATAACCCTGGCTGCCCCGGGAAGACAGAGTCAAAAGCTGCTGACAGTTCTCTTTCTGGAAAAGAGCAGGAAATGGGGCTCCCTGAGAGACCCCTGAGATCCTGGAGGGGTCTCTCCTCAAAGGCTCTTGCAAGCCCAGGAGTGTCTGCCCATTAAGAAGGGCCATCCTCCTAAAGCCACAGAGTCTGGGAGCTTTAGGGTGACCCCCAGGTTTAAAGAAGTCCGGGCTCCTCTCTCTCAAGGGCAGGGAGCTGCCTTGTTTATCCCTGTGCTCCCTGCCGGGACACCTCATCGTATGCAGTAGGTGCTCAATCGTTGTTTACTGAGTGCACTGTGTTGACAGCAGAATTACATCTTCGTCATCACCTTCATCCCCACCGTCACCATTGTCACCCAAACAGCAGCCACAGCAGCCACATTAAGGCATGTGGCTTACACCCTACACTCTCCAGCAACCCCCTGAGGTGGACACCGTGATCGTCCCATTTTCCAGATCAGGGTTGGGGGCTAGCCGAGCTGGGCTGCACCCCAGGCCTGGGCACAGGCCACTGCCTCTCTCTCTTGCCCAGTCACCGGCCCCAGGAGTCCCCGACACAGTGCCCAAGAATGGTCTTCTTCCAAAGGGCTGACAGTCAGGAGGGCACTTTCTCCCCACTTGCAGACCCGGGAAATACTGTTGGCATTGCCTTCTTTTCCCACCTCATCTTCCACTCACTCAGCAAAGAATTTGGGGGTGCACACGATGCGTTCTGCTAAGCACGTGAGATGAATAGTGAACGTGACGCGTGTGGGTCTCTAGGGTGAGTGCGTGCTTTAGTGAGGGCGGTGGGGAGTGAGTACTGAAGAGAGGGGTGAGCACGAGTTCCGATAACAAGAACACCACTTTCCCTAACTTCTGTGGCGCTCACAGCCACCAGCCACCCACCCCCAAGCCTGCCTTTTAGATGAAACCCCGCAAGGGATCTAAGGCACCTGCTGCCAGCCCCTCCCTGTCAGCGCCGACTTGTGGGAAAAGCATAGATACTTAACAAATGAAACCCAAGTCCGAATTTGAACTTCACCATTTCCTAATGGATGCCCTTGCTGAACCCCAGCTCGCAGCTTAGGAAATAATTTTCCCGTCGCTGCTCTTGGCTAGGCTGGCATCAGTTGGGGCCAGACACATTTTGGATGGGGTCAGGGAGTGAATGTCAGGTGAGGGAATGGAGACAGCCAGTGAAAATTGCCCTGGGGAAGGGTGCGCGGAAGGAGAAAGAGAAATTTGGTGGGAGTTGGGCGCGAGAGTGTGGTCGAGAGAGGGGGAGTTCAAGGATGGGAAGGAATTTCGAAGGTTTCTAAGCTTGGGAGGAGAGTGAGCAGCGGGAAGAGGTCAAGACACCGGAAGAGGAAGTCTGACCTGGGAGACTCAGAAGCAGACAGGTGGACAAGGGGCGAGGGCAGAGCTGAACGACTTCGCCCCGCTGCTCGGAGCCCAGGGGAAGGAAGGAAGTACAGGTGCAGAAAGGTATAGAGAAGTAGCCAGTGGCCATAGAGGAATGGTCACTCCTGAGAGGCTTCCCTTTCATTCCCCTGTGAAATGGGAGTAAGGGCCGCTGTGAGCACCGGGGAGTGAAATATTTACAGGTAGCTTGAGACGATGAGGGAGAAGATGTGAGGTTTGAACCCGGAGTGGGGGTCATGGAAGAAGGAGGTGATTAAAACCAAGTAAAAGAGCTGATGGGAATCTCTGACTTCTAGCTGAGTGAGGAGACCGCGAGATTGAGTCGTCAAATTATACTTAAAAACAAAATGTAGCTAAAAAATGGTAAAGGATGATGGGAAGCCAGATGGAGGGCTCCAGTGGCTACAACGGCAAGGGGCGGGGAGGAGAGTGGAGGGACAGGGGAGCTCGGGGAGCAGGGAACTGATGGGACAAGAGAGAGAAAATGGGCAATGGGGCGCGGGGCAGGAAGGGGTGCCCTTGGGGTGACCCAGTGCCTTAAGAGGAAACAGTGTGACCGGGTGTAGCTGATCTCAAATACCTGAGCTTTGGTCCAAATTTGTTTGGAGCCAAAGCTGACCTGAGATCCAAGACAGAATTAAACCTGACCTTGGGAAGCAAAACGGCGTTTCAGGCTGCCTCTGTCAGTCTCGCAGGTCATGCCCTCCCATTTTGCGCACGCTCTACCTTCTACAATCTGTTCCTGACCAGCTAGCTCCTCGTTGGGAGCCGTGCTGAGGGACCAGGGCCGGGGGCTAAGCAGGCCAGGTGCCCAGGGCACAAAGCACAAGGAACACTTAACTCTCGGTCGTCATGTGCAAGTTCAGGTCGCCGCTGCCCACTGCCCTCAAAAACGACCGGCCTCAGCCCGGCCGTGCCCCCACGGTGCAAAAGGAATATGCGTGCTGCCCAGTCTTGAACCCGCAGACTACCACCGGCTGGCTCTATTTTAGAAACAGGCACAAAGACAACAGAACAAACTCGAAACATAAGTAAACAAAGTAAACCGAATCAGCGTGGTACAAACATGTCCTGCTTCTGCCAGGAGGTGACTTCTGAACATGCATGATACAGTCACGCCGTTTTCACCGTCTGGTAAATGAGGGGGCTCTAAAAGCCTGCGCCACCGTCAGCTTGGGCTCTAGAATTTACAGAGAACCTCTCAAGAGCCAGACATTGTAATACGTCCAGAGCCCTTGGTTTCTCGAAGTTTCGGTTTAGCGAGGCAAACCTGGGGCAGCCCCGCAGCCATCCTGGGCGGGACGCCGACCACAGAGAGCGGCAGCTCGCCTGTGGCCCTGACAGCCCGCCCCCTGGTGGCCGCTCGCTGTGCCTGCAACGCGCGAGCCCTCCGTGCAACCACGTGAGAAAGCTGTCACTCGGGAGAGACTCCGAGGCCCCACCGAAGCTGCTGTCCCTTCCTTTCCCTTTCTCCCCACCTGCTGCCATGAATCAGAAGCCACTGAAATGCAAAAGTAAATAAACAACAGATCGTAGCAGGAACAACCGGAGAACCCGAGAGAACCTTGGCTTTCCTGCCCATCTGAGACGGCCACAGGCAGCTTGGGAATCTCACTCTGGACGTGCCAAAAGTCATACGTGTGCTTCTTCCCCTCCCTTCCCCACCGGATTATTTTCCCATTACCTCCAGCTTTCAGGAGGCCTTGCAGAGGACCGACGGGAGGCCGAGCCTGCTGGCAGGCTAATTCTGGAGAATGACATCCTTGGGCCACATTTCCACACGCTTCCAGTGGCCCCACAGAAGACCCTCCGGGATCTCTGATGAAACCTCTATGGTGCCTTAAGGAAAATGGAACAGATAAGGACAGCCGCCCACAGATGAATTTCTGTGCCCTCTGCAGCGTCCCTTCCCCAGCTCTGGCCACTGGCAGAATATTTAGACTTCCTTTTCTCCCCTCTCCTACAAAAGGATGGATCTCAAGGAAACTAAGATTGGTACCGGCGGCCGATGGCAAAGCAGGCTCTGGCGAATTAGACTTCATTCAGACATTGTCAAAGCCAAGCAGGAAAACCCAAGAAAAAGGAAACCTGAGTTACTGGATTGGGGTCTTAATTATCGTGTTGACTACGTGTTCCCCATTTGTCACAGCTTCACTTTGTTTGATTGCCATGTTCGCAGGGGGGAATGACAGGTCTTCGGCAGGCTTTCCGTCCTCTCGAAATACCCAGCTTGGAGGGAAATTCACAGCACCCTCGGAGTGCTTCTTCACCTCAACATTCTTGGTTTAACATCCTCCTTTCCATTTCCTCATCCTTAAACTTTAAAACACGTATTTTATAAGAAAACCATGAGTGCCGTTGATCAGACTGTCCCAGCATACAGATGTTTACTGGGAGCTCCATCCCGTGCTTTCTGCCCTAAGCCCTCAATAGCTCCACCATCCCAGACAGTGACTGGGCTCCTCACGGTCCCAGCGCAGTCTGTTCTCACGCCTCGCCCTCCACCAGTCTCTCATGCTAACGCCCCCCCGCCCCGCACATAGGGAGCTGCCCCCTCCTGGACAAGTTCGGGCTCTCATACCAGCTTTGGCCAGAGTCCCTCCCTAACCAAGCCCCCCTGGAAAATCTATATTCACCTTCCGGTTCCTGCTCACACGTTCTGCGAAAATGTCTCTGACCTCAGCAGAAAGGGCATGAGGTGTCCCCAGCTCTAATAGTGCTTCTTAGTGTTACAGTTTGATTATTGCTTGCTCTGGCCTTCCTTCTACACTGAGCTCCTCGTGGGCAATATTCATCCCGGAATCCCCAGAATGTGGAAGTAACATAGCCTGGCTGTGAGAAGCCCTCAGAATTCTTGTTAAAGGGGTAGATGAATGAATGGAAGGATCAAGAGATTGGATAAAGCTCTGCTTTATCCAGAGCTGAAGCAGACCCATAAGGGTCCTGCCCAAATAGAGGCCCTTGGACTCACAGTCTCTGAAATCATCACTTGGCATCTACAGAGGAAGTCTGAGGATTTGGGGCCAGTGGGGAAGGGTGCAGAGATAAGGGACAAGAAGGAAACCGGCAGGGGAAGAAAAAGGGAGGAAGAAAGAACTCCTCTGGGAAGCACTCGATGCAACTTGACTCCCCTGTTGCACACGCTTGATCCATGAGCCGGAAGCCTCTGCAGGATGTGTCGGTTCTGATGGCAACAGGAAGCCTGTGAAGAAGTGTCTAGAAGAGGGAGAAATGTTTCAAAAGATAAAGCAACACTCTGGAACCCCAGAGATGGTGCTCGCTTGGATGCAAAAGCTAAGACACACAGGACACCCAAGTGAGCCTTAAAACAGAGACCACGGATGGGGACCGCAAGGCTGTGGTCTGTGCAACCACTGCCCCCGGTCATGAGTGCTCATCCCCAAACCTGCAACTGCTTTTCCTTAAATACCTCACATTTCTTTTTTTTTTTTTTTTTAATTTTTTTTTTCAACATTTATTTATTTTTTGGGACAGAGAGAGACAGAGCATGAACAGGGGAGGGGCAGAGAGAGAGGGAGACACAGAATCGGAAACAGGCTCCAGGCTCTGAGCCATCAGCCCAGAGCCCGACGCGGGGCTCGAACTCACGGACCGCGAGATCGTGACCTGGCTGAAGTCGGACGCTTAACCGACTGCGCCACCCAGGCGCCCCAATACCTCACATTTCAAGCAAACAAAATCAAATGCCATTACAACCTGAATGGATCTTGATTCCTCACGTTCCCCAAGAAGCGTAAAGAGTTTCTATCAGTTTCAACCCCACTTTTTTAGGAAATAATTTCCACCTGCCAGAGACCTCCCACGTGGAGTTTCCAGGACCACATTATAAAAGATTATCTGAATCTCTTACTATATGAACCCCCAAAAAGGCAGAGACTGGGTCCCGTTTAGGCTGATATTCACAACCAAGCACAATGCCTGGCCCATGACAGACCTGTGTGTGCCCTCCGTCACCCTGGTGGAAGACAGATATTCGACTGATGTGTGTTGAATTGAACCATTTATTAACCCTGCTTAATAATAACAGCGAATGTTTCTCTAGTTCCTGCTGATCTGTGTCCTTTGAATGTATACATTCATTTCATCTTTACCATCACCCTCTGAGGTATGTGCTAGTATTCTCCAGACAACAGAACTGAGACCCAAAGAAATGGAGTTTCTACCCAGGGACCACCAGGAACTTTATGCCACAAGGAGGCTCTGGACCCAAGGCAGTCTGGCTTCCAGAACGCCTGGAAACTTCCAACTGAACAAACACTTACTTGGTCTCAACTATTCCAGATCTGGAAGTAGAAAGATGAGCAGACCATGGTGTCCTTAAGGAACTTCACAGGAACATCTCATGTTAAGCAAGGTCAGGGCTACTCCAGAACATTCATCAGCGAGCCCCTTGAACACTGGAAAGAGCACGTTGTGCAATGTACTAACTAGCACAAAGGCTCCGTGGCCGGAAAGTGCCACGGAGATCCCTCATTAATTCAGATTCCCGCCCCCCTCCACTGTTTAAAGGTTTCTTTTCTTTCCAACCTAGTGCTGAACTCTGTCTTCAGGAATGTAAGTATACGTTATAATCCCTTCATACGGGAATTACTAATAGCTTTTCAATTATATAATGCTCACTGAAGCAGGTTCTCTCTGACAGGATACTAAAGGCACAGTGGTAGCTACGCTCTGAGCAATGGGTCCATCCCTGAACATTTGCAGGGTCCAGGTCAAGTGTACAAATGGAGGCCAAACATAATACATGTTTAAATATTTAAAAGTTTAACTCAAGCTAACATACAGGTAAATATATATATTCTATCCTCCTGGCCTGGTAAATAAACCTTTGCAATGACCACAGGTTTTTTGTTTGTTTGTTTGTTTGTTTAATGTGCAAAGCTATGGTCTTTGCAATACTGAAAGTTAGAAAAATATCAAAGATGTCTGAATTTAGTAATTATTTTGAAGGCCTGATTGATATAACGGAACAACAATGTTTGAGTGAGATGAAAATAAAGGCAAGTGTAAATAATAAATTGTTCCATACTTCCTCCATAAACTGTATCGCTCGTGTCTACGTTTTGCTCCAATCATTAATTATACTCTTATAATCAGAATTTTCAACTAATTTATGTCCTATTGACAGTACTAACTCAAAAGGCAATTGTACTCAAAGTGCAAACATTGTGAATGTGGCTTATCAAAACCCTAAATTAAAGTGAATGTTAAAAGGGGAAAATCAATGGTTATCTTTCTTTTCCAAGTGCCCTTCATCTGGTACATAATTCTTCTTTTTTAAAAAAAAATTAACATTTATTTAATTTTGAGAGAGAGAGAGAGAGAGAAGGAGACACAGAATCCGAAGCAGGCTCCAGGCTCTGAGCTGTCAGCACAGAGCCTGATGTGGGGCTCAGACTCACAAACTGTGAGATCACGACCGGAGCTGAAGTTGGACGTTTAACCAACTGAGCCACCGAGGCGCCCCATGGTGCATGATTCTTTGTTTTTGCATCTGTCAAAATACCAACTCTTTCTATTGCCAGGACTGTCTTTCTCCCTCCCTCTCTCCAAGTCTCAATATGAGATATTGCAAACATTTTACTTCTCCTTAGTCCTCTTCCCCCCAAAAGTGATCTTTACGAGGTTTTTCCTTCCCCATTTTACCAGCTCATTTTCTTAAAGATATTTAGCTCTAGGACATTACTAGAATGTCCTTTACAGTCTGTATGATCCATACTGTTATTTTCAGAATCATTATTCAGCATTTATTGTACATGGCCACTATCAATCCCTTTTGTTTCGGTGTAGATTTGCTAGTTATTGGGGTTTTGACCATCTCCTAAGGTCCATGGGTGCAGATAAGAAGTCAGATGTTACTCTTAACATATCGTGTTCTTTTCATCTGGAAGTCCAAAAGATTTCCCCTTTTACTCTGAGGCCCTGTAATTAAAAAAACCTTTTTTTAACGTTTATTTATTTTTTTTTTAATTTTTTTTTCAACGTTTATTTATTTTTGGGACAGAGAGAGACAGAGCATGAACGGGGGAGGGGCAGAGAGAGAGGGAGACACAGAATCGGAAACAGGCTCCAGGCTCCGAGCCATCAGCCCAGAGCCTGACGCGGGGCTCGAACTCACGGACCGCGAGATCGTGACCTGGCTGAAGTCGGACGCTTAACCGACTGCGCCACCCAGGCGCCCCTCACCACTCAAATTTTAAAAGAAAAGCACAAAATGGCATCTGGCCTCAATTTAAGTGCTTCATTGAAAACTCCGCTGGCCTCCCATTTAATGTTCTGACTAAGATAGAAAAGGAGAACAACTCACGATGCCAACATTTCAGACATTGGTAGAATCTGAGAAGACCCATGGGCTACAGATCCTGTAGAACTTGACGGAGGAAAGCGGCCGGTGGGGTGGGAAGCAAGGCTCATCTGCTCATCTCTCTGCTTTGCTTCAGGGCTACAAGATCAGCATCAGTAGGGAAGCCAGTCAGCTGCCCCTCTGTGGTTCAGGCACTTCTGTCCGCAAGTGCGCCCCTTCCCCAGATCAGGACTTGCTTCCACCACCAGAGGCTGCAAATCCGGGGATAAAACTGCCCAGAACCTGGGTGCAGGGACCAGAAGCAGGGACTGCAGACACAGTTCTGCAGCAGAACCATTGCCTCCTGCAAGGCCTGAGCGTGAGAAGAAAAGGACAGCGAGGGAACGAACGTAGAGTGACAGAAGCAGGGTGAGTTCCCATTGCCATGAATGCTGGAGCTCACGGGGGTTCCTGCAGCCCTATGCTCAGTGTGACAGAGAAGGTTAAACTGCAGGCAGGAGAAGATGCTCTCTCGTGCCGGTTAAGCCAGTGGGGTGGAGAACGAGCAGACACTGGGAATTCAGCCACAGCCTGAGTCTATATCAGCCTGACAAACAGACCGGTTGAAAGAAGCAGGGAATTGACCACATGCCCAAGGGTACAGAAGGCATACACAGGCAATCTGCATACAGAATATTCGCAAACATGTTGGTTAGCCAGGGGTTTTACTGGGAAAACAAGTCACAGAACAAGAGACACATTGCATCATCTTAAAGACTCTGGAAGATACCCTCGCCCGTTCATGCTCTGTCTCTCTCTGTCCCAAAAATAAATAAACGTTGAAAAAAAATTAAAAAAAAAAAAGGGGGGCGCCTGGGTGGCGCAGTCGGTTAAGCATCCGACTTCAGCCAGGTCACGATCTCGCGGTCCGTGAGTTCGAGCCCCGCGTCAGGCTCTGGGCTGATGGCTCGGAGCCTGGAGCCTGTTTCCGATTCTGTGTCTCCCTCTCTCTCTGCCCCTCCCCCATTCATGCTCTGTCTCTCTCTGTCCCAAAAATAAATAAACGTTGAAAAAAAAATTAAAAAAAAAAAAAAGACTCTGGAAAATAGCAGACCTCTAAAATGACAGCTCCGAAAGAATGCCAGAAGATACGGTCTTGTTGACATAGTGACAGAACGCCTAAGGTGAGACGGGCTATGATTTTTAAAAGAATGCAAAAAGGTAAAGAGGAGAGGAGTGCAATTATGGAAGATTACAAGCTAATGCAAAATAGAATCCCAGTACATTGAAGGCAGCAAAAGAGAGAATGGAAATTGCAGAAGGACACAGTTGGTAACTGGAGAATAAACTTGAAAACTTCTTCCCGAATGCAAAGGAAAACGGTCAAATGAAAACAGAAAAAATAAGAGACATGAAGGACAAAGGACGAAGATTGTGTCTAAGGCTGACAGTGTTCCCGAGGAATAAACCAAAACTGCTCAAACCAGAGTAATAATCAGAATCAGAACTAAAGAACACTTTTTTGAGGAAAAAAATGTCCTCAAAACCGTAAGTGTTCACCATGTCCCAAGCTAGACCAACAACAAAGAGCCACCTTCTGGAAATTTGTTGTAAACATAAGATATCAGGAACACACCTTGCAAGGATACAGGTAGGAAACCAAGTTAGCTATCGTGGAACAGAAAATAATATTGGCCGAGTATTTATGGAGAATATTGAAATGTAAGAAATCTATGCTTATGGCTGTTTTTTACTTGTGAAGGTAAGAAGAAAAAATTTTCAGTTACTCAAGAGTTCAGAAAACATCATGTTCTATACCTTTTTGAACACACGTACCAAATGAGGGAGGAATTTCAGACCAGGAGTGGGGATGTCATAGGGACATCATAGCAGTAGGAAGCATTTAAATAAATTACATCCAGAGTTAAATCTAAACAGTTGACTTAAACCATGGTGACAAAATTAAATGCAAATGTCAGAAGTGAATTTTAAAAGAAAAATACAGTGTGTAAAAAATAATTATTTTGCAACCATCACCTGGATGAAAAACTCAGGAAAAGGAAAAAAGGTATGTGGAAAATGCTTAGCTGCATTCTTTTCTATAGGAAATGCTTTAAGGGTGCCTGGGTGACTCAGTCAGCTGAGCGTCTGACTTCGGCTCAGGTCATGATCTTGCAGCTTGTGGGTTCGAGCCCCATGTCAGGCTCTGTGCTGACAGCTCAGAGCCTGGAGCCTGCTTTGGATTCTGTGTCCCTCTCTTGCTCTGCTCCTTCTCCACTCATGCTCTCTCTCTCTCTCTCTCTCTCTCTCTCTCTCTGTCTCTCAAGAATAAATAAAACATTAGAAAAAATTTTTTTAAAAAGGAAATGCTTTAAAAAGCAACTTTACTCTGGACTTTGGATAATTATAGAAATGCAGATTAAAATATGTTTCTAAACGTCAAGGTAACCCATGGTGCAGTTAAAAGCATAATGCATTCCACTGCTTCTATGGGTTTCTTTCTCCTGCAGCTCAGGATTACACAAACAACTGTGCCTACTCTTCCCTCCCACCTAGACCCCTCCTATCAACAATTAAGCACATTCAAGGCTCTGCAGTCCTTAAAATGTATTTGTATATAATTTCAACCTCATATCTCCTTCTAACCTGGTAATTGTCAGTTTGGGTTGTGCATTGGAGTCATCTGGGAGTTTTATAAACTGCCCCGGTGCTTGGGTCCAACTCCTAGTGACTCTAGGTCTAGTGGGTCGCCTTGGCACTGGGATTTTTCTAAAGCACTTCACATAATTCTTGTGGACAGACAAGTTGAGAACCACATTAGCCCTAACTCTCTGCTCCCCTTCCCAGCAAAATTCCTAGAAGTTTTTCATAAGATCTGTTTCCATTCCTTTTTCTCCCAACCTCTCCTCATACCACAACTGGGCTTCTGCCCCCATCATATCCCCAAAATAGGACTTGCTAGAGTCACTAAAAGCCCAAATGCTGCAAAATCCAAGAGCATGTATCAGTGCTCATCCGTGCAGACCTCTCTGCAGTCCTAGATGTTTGTTATGACTCTGTGTTTCTCGACGCACTGTCTTACTATAGACGACAAGATGCTGCACTCTTCACTTTATTCTTGGACTTCTCTGCTGCTTCTTGGGGATTTATCCTTCCCACCCAGTCATCTTCCCTTGAGCAACCCAAATGTCTGTTGATAGATGAGTGGACAGAGTACACACACGTGCGTACACACACACACACACACACACACACACACACACACACAGGAATATTATTCAGCCATAAAAAAGCATGAGATCTTGCTTTTTGTGACAATATGGATGGACCGAGAAGGCATTATGCTAAGTAAACTAAGTCAGGCAGAGAAAAACAAATACCATATGAGTTTACTTAAATGTGTAATCTAAAAACAGATCTTTTTTTAACATTTATTTATTTTTGAGAGAAAGAGACAGAGCATGAGCGGGAGAGGGGCAGAGAGAGAGGGGGACACAGAATTGGAAGCAAGTTCCAGGTTCTGAGCTGTCAGCACAGAGCCCGACGCGGGGCTCAAAGTCACGAGCAGTGAGATCATGACCTGAGCTGAAGTCGGACGCTTAGCCGACTGAGCCACCCAGGGGCCCCATGTAGCATCTAAAAACAAAAACAACCAATCAACCAACCAAACAAAAACCAAAACAGAAACAGACTCATAAATACAGAGAACAAACGTGTTTGCTGGAGGGGGAGGGATGGGGGTGGATAAAATAGAAGGAGAATAAGAGTTATAAACTCCCAGTTAGAAAATCAGTAAGTCACTGGGATGAAAAGTAATATAGTAGCATAGTCGATGACATTGTAATAACTTCAGATGGTGACAGATTGTAACTACACTTATCTTGGCTGTAACTTTGCGGTGTGTAGAAATGGTGAATCACTACATTGTACTCCTGAAACTAATATAAACTAATCTGATAGTGTATATCAACTATACTTCAGAGAAAAGAAAAAAAACCGTGGTGTTCCTGAAGACGGACCCTGGACCATTTTGTGAATGGGAATCTTACTTGCATCCTCCTTCGTGAAGGACACTCTCTTCCACACCCAAGACTGCAATTTCCATCTTGTCTTTGATGATTTACAATGTGTCTCTCCAGCCTAGACCTCTCCTGTGAGCTATAGGCTGCCCAGCCCATGCCACATGAGCTGCTTCGCCTCAGTCTCTCCTGGAGGATACTGTCTATACTCATGACCCTCTCTCTCAATGCACCCCTCCATCTATTCCCATGAACCCACAAGCAAAGTGTGTCCTCCACTCACCACATCCACCTGTCACCAGGCCCCCTCCATAGGGATCAGCATCTCCTACTCATAGTTTCTCCTCCACCTCTCCCACCGCCTGCCCAAACCAATGGCCATATCTCTCTAGATGGTGGAACTTGTCACCTGGTGTCCTCCCACCTACCCTGTCATAATAAGCTTTGCAGGCCAAAGATCAATGCTATCAGCTCCTTGCCAAAACCCTTTGATGTCTCCCATTTAGCTCAGTCAGGATAAAAGGGGGAAAAAAATGAAGAGAAAAGAGAAGGTTCTTCCTGGTCTGGTCCTTGCCCTCCTATCAACTTCTCCTCCCCCCTTCAACCTCACCTCCACCATCTCTACTCAGCCTCTCCCCTCCGCTCTGTCCTCCCAGGATTGCAACCATGGTGACCTTCCATTTCCTCAAATGTGCATAGCTACCTCCTGATCTGTGGCCTTTACCCATTCTTGTTCTCCTGCAGAGAAGAGTCTCCCCTACCCATCCCCCTCCCTCAATCCAGCTCTCTTTGCTAATCCACTCAAACACGATTTCTGCATGGAACACTTCACTTCACACCATTCTAACATCGAAGATTCCCTCCCCTTTAACAGAAGCCTCATTGTGTAATAATGAATTTATCTCTGTGGTTTGACACATAGTCAAACCTAAATGTCTGCCTTCCGCACCAGACTATGAGGCCCCTGAGGGCAGGGACTGGGGTTGGTTTTTATGCATTAGCCCCACAACCTACCACCAGCTTGTAGTAAGTGCTCAGTAAATGATCGTTTAATGAAGATGTATCTATCTTATATAACACAAGTGATAGAAAGTGAAATTGCAAGATATTACAAAAGAATACACAAACATAAGCCCAAACACTAAGTTTCATTTCAGCAGCTTTGAAAAAAATATCTATATACATAAGTGGTTGAAACACACTGCCATTAAAAAAAAATTTTTGTGATGATTACATAGGGCAATGTAAATTTTCATATAATACAATGTCCAGGAAATAAAATCAAGAGATAAAGTTTTAGTATATAATATTTATGTTTAATTTCTCCTCAATAAAAACTGCAAAAGCATCCCCAAAATGTTAGCAATAATTTTTCTGGGTAGTAGAATTATTGATGATTTTTATTTTCTTCTTTATATTTTTCAGAATTTTCTGAGTTGTTTATAAGAAAAATATATTAATCAGACAAAAATGTATCAGTCACTTATGCTTTCTGTGACAGATGACAGAAAACTAAACTCAGAGTGGCTTAGAAATGACAGGATTTTATGGATAACGTAACAGAATGTTTGGTTATGGTTAAACAGGGCCCTGGCTTCATTTCCTGCAAATATTTTGTGTTTGGTCTATTTCTGTTTAGTGTTTAGTTTCACCCCCAAATTGACCTCCCTCATAATGGCAAAATGGTTGCAGCGGCTCCAGGCTTTCCATCTTTATACTATACCATACAGAGGGCAAATAAAACCATCTGTGTGCCACTCAGATTAGACCAGCTAGGACACAGGCCTATTTACAAACCAGTTACTGTGGCTTAGGGGATGCTGCTGGTCCATTTCTCAAAAGCTAGAGCTGGAACTGCGGTCAAATTCCTTAGAACCATATAGATCACCAAAAACAAATTCAGGGCCACTGGAAATGAGCAAGGGCAGAATGGATGCTTGACAGACACATCTGCTATAAACATTTTAAAATAAAATGCTTGCTTACCTAATCTATTTATTTTAAAAAATTTTAGTATTTATTCATTTTTGAGAAAGAGAGAGACAAGGAGTGGGTACGGGAGGGGCAGAGAGAGAGGGAGACACAGAGTCCGAAGCATGCTCTAGGCTCTGAGCTGTCAGCACAGAGCTCATTGCGGGGCTCGGATCCATGAACTATGAGATC